TACCGAAACGGAGAGTGTCAGTGATACTCTTAATCTACTCGCATTGGCGGTACATCGTTTCGTTAAAAAGGACAGTTCGCGGATAATGCGGAAACACTGCCGCAAGCACAATGGCCACGGCCACTGAAGAACAATGAGTGCGGGACAAAAGGAGGCTGCACACAGGGGCTGCACATAGGCAGGCTCGTTCTCTTCTCGTAAACGCGCAAACTGTGTCGCGGCGTATTTCGCGAGGGGATGACAATGCAATGTTGTGTGACGCGGATGTCGATCGTGGCAGCCGCCAATGCGACGCGCGCGGCCGAACGTTCCGGTGTTAATTCTTCGCGGTCTGCCGCGGATGCTAAAGGCGTCCGACCGGTTGTACCGATAATGTTACGTCAGCCGCGCCATAAATATTCCTCACGTGTACGTTGTACGTTCGTCACGTACGACGAATGACGATGCAGACGTTTCGACGTTGTTTGCTCAGGAGAGGCATTACAGACGTATTGGTCAGGTGAGAAACGCGGCAGCTGTTGCCACTTGCGAGGTCCTCATAAGAAATTCATCTCTGTGAAACTGGCATCTCCAATGGCCAAAATGGCAATGGAAAAAAAAAAAAATCGACCATATACGCCATAATTAAATGCTAATTATTGCTAATTCATTGACTTAATTCCGAATAATACTTTGCTCCTATGAATTAGCATGAAATTCGTATATGAGTTTGCAGCGATAAATAATCATTTAATATTTTAATATATTATTATTATTATTATTATTATTATTATTATTATTATTATTATTATGGGACATTCTTATTTTTCCATGACACGTTAATTATAAATAAATTGAAGTATCCGTTATTATGGAAGAACGTGAGAAATTTGAGAATGCAAGAGTTTTATTTTAGTAGTACAATTATAATATTTTTAATACAAATTTTTATTGTTACTTTGTTTATTAGAACGTTTAGCGAGATTTTAATAAAAATTTATTCAATATTAAAGCGACGATTCATTTCTTCGACGAGTCATTTCTTCTTTATCATTTCTCTTTATAGAGGAGTTAGAATAATTAGGAGATAGAATAATTATTGTAATGAATGAGTTTCCAGCATTCGAGCATCACGATGTTATTGCATTCACAATCTCGCTGTTTCACTTTTTTAAGTGCTGAATCGATCGTGGAAAATTGCATTTAATGATGTCTCCAAAAGTAATACAATTGTGACGTCAAATATGTTAATTCTTTTGCATGGCAATCTCTCGTTTAATTGCCGAGTTCACCAACAGCAAATGTAACAAGAGAGTAAGGAATAAATTCGCATTAGCAATTATAATTTCTCTACCGTTCTAAACTCCAGTACCAACTTCTTCTTCGCGTCGTTATCCGTTACTATTAAGAAACAATGTCACGGCAAAAATAATGTACAGTAATGTACGTTGCTCCTTTTTTAGTAACAGTTTTATTTTACATATACATTTATTTTACATAATCAGTCACAGATTTTATACTAGTGGATACAGAAATTGTAACATTTTTTCTTCTAATAAATTTAGGAACGCAGGTTGCAGGTTGAGTGATTATGATGTCAAACTTAAGTATGTGTACAATGTGTAAAATAATTAAATTAAATTTAATCTAAAAAAAAATCTAATTCTAATACAATTTTGGTGACGATATATTTACACCGTAATATGCTTAGAAAAATTATGAATATAATTCTTTGTCGGAGTGAAAATGTTCTTAATCTGTTTACCCAAGAAATTCAGAAAGATTCAAATTCTCAAAGCGCGAAAGCAAAGAAGAAAGATAGATTAGTAATTTCCTTCTTGCATCCGGAGCGCGATCGATAGGTTCTTCTTCTAGTCGATTTTTCTTTACGAAAACTTTGAGCGGAAACGAGACCCTCCTGTGATTAATATACAGCGAATATGTGTCTGCTCTTAGCAGCAGTTTAAGATACTTGTCGAGATTGAGAAAAAGAGAGGGGAAGAGAAATGAGAGAGAGAGAGAGAGAGGGGGGGAGGTAAAAGCAGTCTCGGGTATATAATTTTTTCTTAAGCTTCGGAGTTTGCGGAACATGCGGCACATTAACTTGAGTGGCAGTTTATCGTGGAATAATCGACGACTCTCTCCGAAACTCGGGCAGGTATGGGAAACTCGGGTATGTACGCCCGTTCTCGTGGCGTACCCCCGTTAATCTTCATCCGCGCGCACTTAATCTCGTAAATAGTCGAGACGCGGAGTCTTCGTCGACTACCGTTCGATCGGCGGCGGCTGTCAAGCGGTGGCGTTAATTACGTTGTTACGTGTTCCGCATCTCTCTCGTATCTTCGGACGAGGAGACTGCGTGCTCGGAGATGCTCGCTTTTGTTACCTGCAACGAGCCACCAATGAGACACCAACGTTTTCGCCATTTAAATTGACCGGGCCATGAGCAAGCGTCGTTCTCAAGCCGGTCACGAGCGCGGCCGTTTCCTCTCTTCCAAACGTGAAACGTTCCTCCTCGAAACGATCCTCCTCGGCTCTCGCTCTCTCCCACCTCCGGTAGATGAGGGAGTTTCTCATAATTCCGACCACGTATCGACCGAGGCTCATTACGACATTACTCGCGCGTCGAGCATACGTCGGCATAACGATTAATTCTTTCGTCGCAAAGAATACGAGATAAACGTTAGACATGAAAGGGATCAGGATTGTTGAACATTTTATTACCTATTTAAGTGACTCGAGTAATAATGTTCAGATTCTTCAATTTCGAAGACTTAAATATTAATTAACTATTTATTGTAGAATTTAAATATTAACCCTCCGCTGTCATCGTGGGAACTTGAAGGTCAAGATGATTTTTTTTACCTTGAATTATTCGATAAATAAGGAGAAAAGATTGGTTTCCCTCCCTCAGAAATTATTGATAATAGAAATTTATCAGTCGAGGAATGTCGACTGATACTGTACTTCGTATATTTCAATTGTGTTCCATACGACAAAAGTCAGTCGCGTACGTCAGCAACTCAGGTGATCTGACAAAGTTGTTTTTTTGTCAAAGTAAATGGACAATGTTGTTGCTATTTTTAGCCTCTATTTCAATAATTCGAGTACAATGTTATTTTTAATATAATAAGCATAAAAATTCAGAAGTTGAATAGACTATATTCAAGAGAAAGCGTTCTGCTGAGAAAATTGTGCGAAATATAAAAATATTTTATTTATTTAAAATATATCGTTTTGTAATCGTGCACGTATGCCTGTGGCATTTATCATTGACAATCCGATCACACGTTTGGTTTCGATAGTCTGCCATTTATGATGAAACCGTTACGGCAACGAATTTCAGCCGAAAGTGCAACCGACGAGCGTGCTTTGCGTGCACTATGCGCGCATGTACAATATGCGATGTATCACGATATATATACGACATCTATGGAAATTACGTATGGAAATTACGTACGTTTCTTGCCACGTAACAACAGGCAAGAACTTCCATACGGCTGTTATCGAGAGATCGCTCGACTCTATATTGTAATAACTTGTCGGAGCTCAAGGTATCAATTATATACATTTTCTTGCAAAATCTTGCAAGAAATCTGCTGGTCGGTGGAACGTCATATTCATCGTTTCTGTATATTATAAATAAAAATGGAGTTTTAATAATTGGTTTCTCTTTCCTTGAAGAAATTAAAAACTCGTTTTGCCAAGGAATTTCTATTTTATTTTTGTCTTTCGGAGGACGTTAATGCAATAATCTGTTTCTTCTTGGAAAAAATTAATCTATTAAATAATTCCACTTCGCTCAACAAATGCAGGCGGAATAATGAAAATAATGTTCTTTGAAGAGTAAATGTAATTGTGACGATATTTTCTATTTAATTTTTTAATTAGAGCCGTGGAATTTTTCGTACCGTACCGTACTGATTGTGAGAAATATTTTAATAATATTTCAATAATTTACTGTTATTATGACTTATATATTATTGCAAAATTTTTAATATATTTAACTACTGTATATTCAATATTTAATTTTAATATTAATAAATTATTACTTAATGTGATATTAAAATATTATCTCGTAATTTTTTGCGTATGATATTGTAAGCAGTTTTTATACATAATTATAAATCGAAAAATAATAAAAAAGTAAAATCGACAACACATGTAAAATTACATTAAAATACGTTTATCTCTTCTAAATATTTACTTTACTTGTTGAAACTTTTAATTAAAAGTACTAGCTATAAAATAATGTTTACTATTATCTTCTCTCTGTTTAATATTATCTTCCTTATTAATATAATGTAATAATGTTTCGATTATATTTTGCAACACGTCGTAACGCTAAATTCCCTAGAAAATTACAATAACGATACATATAAATATATTACATTTAGTAATACTTAATAAATTAAACGAGACTTTATGAAATTTTGTAAAATATTGTTTGATGTTGTGAAATGTTGTTTATTATCGAACTGAAATTTACAAATCCTTTTTTCGATGAAATATGGAATAGGGTATAATGGGATGAAATTATGGGACATCAGCTTTTATTTTATGGATTTATAACTCGTTCAATGTTGCTGACATATATAATTCACCGACATTAATATGCGTGCGATGACTGGCTCAGATTGTCGTGTAGAAAGTTTTATTGTTTGTGAGAATCATGATAGTGACGCGGAGTGAATGCGAAAATTGCAAATTCAGATATACAATCTGAGATTAAAACTGCACATCGGAATGAAAGATGCGCGATTTTGTTTTTCATACGGAACAATATGACACGAGATAATCCCCTGCTTCTGGGGAAGAGAGTTAAATTAATCATTTAAATTGATAATTTTCTTGCTTCTAAAAAATTAATCATTTATATTAATGTGATCTTATTTATATTAATGTGATATTATTTGATAATTATGATGATTAATTTGATTTTATTTATTGGAAAACGTTTTGTAAGCTACTGTCGAGAATGTTACGTTTATTTCCACGAAATGTTTTATTGATTGTTACAGATATCAAAATGGGTTGTTTTGGGAGCAAAGACAAGTTGAGCAAAGAAGATATGGACTTTCTTAAGTCGCATACACGATATGACGAGGCGACTATAAAGGAATGGTACAAAGGTTTTAAAGTGAGTAAATCAAGGACGCTGTTATATATTAATATCATGAATCATAAATTCAAAAATTAAATCGAACTTTTCCTTATGATTTCGTACCTTTCATATATAGAGGTGAATTCAATTTTGCACTACCTATATATTCTTACCATAACTGCATATTTCCTTCTCAAAATATATTATGATAGTGAATGATAGAGAAGACGTTTTTAAAGAAATGCTTTCTTGGAAGATAAAAAATTATTTGCACGAATTACCTTTTCTTTGAAAGAACTATTTTAATTTTATCTTTTGTTGAAAGCTTACTTTTATTTATACGTGACGTATCGAAATTTTTAGGTTATTTAATATTTCCAATTTTTGCAACAATATATAATTTAATAATAACAATGAGAACGAACATGATGAAAGAATATAAATTTTCTACAGAAAAGAAATAGCATTTATTGCACTTATATTTTTTCTTCAAATTTTTTTCATCAAAATAATATTTTAAGCAGCCTTGATGATGAATAAATTATATAATAATATTTATTACATTGTTAATTGTTGTGTAATTTAATTCTTCATTATTAATTTATACTTTTCAAATGTTTTTTTGTGTCGCTATCCAATCTTACATTATTCTAAATTTGTATCTATTTACTTTGCATGTTAAAATAAAATATTGGAAAAGGAAATTATATATAGAAATTTTAGACCAAATATGAAAATTTAGAAAATATTTTTAACCAAAACGCTTAATTAAAAATGATAATATATGTACAAATAAAGATATAATGTATTAGTTAACTGAAAGAAAGTCGATACCACATGATCCTGAAATTAATTAATTCAACATATTTATTTATTACGTAACAATTATTAATTTATACATGAAATATTTGACAATCACACCGATGTGATGAGTTTTATAATTTGTATTTTAAATATTCAATATTATATTGAGTATTTTAATTTGAAACGTGTCATACGTGTCATATTATGTTAATAAATAAAGTTAACATCGACATCACAACAACAATCGATAAAATTTAGATCATTGTTAGATTTAATTAAAATGTTGTTATCTTAGCATACGTCTTGTATGCTAATATGAATAGTATGTGTGTGTATAATGTAAAATGTAGTATATTGCATAATATTTATTTAATCGTGGAATGTAAATTGCTTAAGGCTTCTTCTACTACATTGTACAAATAATTTCGTATAATTATATCGTTGTGCCAATATACATATTTCATCATTCTGCATATCAACTACCGGAATTTGATATATGCAAGAAATGCATTTAAGAGAGTACGCTACAAAATAAAAGTCCAAAAAACTTAAAACTGTGGAAATTTAAATTAATCAGGGAAAATCGAGAAAAGTCATGGAAATTTACATTGGCTAAGCAAAACTTGGGAAAATCGAGAAAAGATGTAAAGAAGTCTGGAATTTTGAACTTTGCTCTTTGCAATTTCCTTAAATGCTCTTGTTTTAAAAAATACTTATAATTTTTTCAACATTTTTATTTAATCTCTCTTTTCTGTATGATGTAACTTCTAGTAACATAATATAATCCTGAATACATATTTTAAGCTAATAAAAAATAAATGAGTATGTTGTATGTGTATGTATTTATTTTTTGTTAGCTTAAAATATGTAATCAGAATTATATTACATTACTAGATTCCTAAAGTTACATCTAATAATAATATAATATTACAATTAACATTAATTTAAAAAAAATGAAAAGTTTTTGAAAAATTGATTTTTTGGAAAACTTTACTCTGGTGTAGTCCTTTAAAGGACATGCGGAAAATGTCGCACAACGCTCCTTTAATCAAGTCTAAAAAAAATGAGATTTTTCTTCGAATACTAGCACATAATGTCAAATATCTTTATAATTACATTAGAAAAGATCGTGTCATCAAAATGTCAAGCAAACATTTCTGCAAAATAAATTAATCTCGATTACGAAGAGGAAGCGATCTGATGCGAGTTGCGATGCGAATTTTATCGTGAACGGGATGTGACGTAGCGGAAGCTGTCGGTGCTGTGGAAAAGTTACCTTCTCGAGCAGTTTAAACGGGCGTGGAGGCTCCAACAGAGCCCGTAGCGAGCGGACTAATTAAACCGAGCGGATTCGTTAGAGGGGACGTTTCACAATTCGATCGCATCGCAGCGCATTCCCTCCGCTTTCCCTCCCTCGCGATTGAATCGCAAACGCGACTCCACCGAGTCTGCGAATTGAAATAAATTGAAACTGATCGGCGCGTATCGATCTTGGCGGAGAAAATGTCAGTGGGGGTCGAAGGGGGTTGAAAAATATCGCGCGGAAACGCCAACTTTGCTCGCACATTTTTAAAAAGGTTGAGAGAATGAACGGCGCCAGATTAAGGCGCCAATCTGATAAGCGAGGAAAACGAGAGTGATGTCGAAATGATGCGATTTTTTTCCTCAGGACCCCCCGTTTGTTTTACGCACAACTGGCAGGATGAAGGTGCGATCGAAATGGAATTCAGCACAGGAGTGAAAGTTGTACCTCGGTCAAATTATTTATTTAATTGAATTTACACAACGTAATTTTAATCCAGCATTTTTATCCGTATTGATTAAATAAATATTATATTTTTGATAAATTTTAATTATTAAAATTTATGAAAGATGTATGCTATTGATGCACCTTTCTTACTTGGTATATACAGGTGTTATTTTTGATCGAAGTGAATTTGTTAATCTGTTTAATACGCAAGTTATATAACTTTGAATGTTTTAAATAACTTATTTTCTATCATATTATGGCATTTTTTTATCTTTTTTTTTTTTTCAGAACATGTTTTACTGTATTTTTATAAAAAAACATCAATAAAAATTTAATATGTATTTACTTTATTATTGTGTATAATAAATAGGAAAATGGAATTTTCAGGGCATTTGTATTTTGAAAAATCAAGGAATTCTCAGAAAATTTTATTGAACATCGGAGTAATTTTTTTTTTTTTTTTTGACGTTGCTTATTCTAATGCTTTGTATTTATATTACAATCGAGAATTTATCGATTGAATTGTTAACAATAAGCCCATTCACTCTAAATATCAGAATGTACAGATTTTACGACCAATCCAATATCTAGTTAAAAATAATGATTTTGTGTTTTTCCGAATGTTACAGCAAGACTGTCCTAACGGCAGATTAACGCCGGCGAAATTCGTCGATATGTACAAAATGTTCTTCCCGTCCGGCAACGCGGAAGAATTCTGCGATCATGTTTTCCGCACATTCGACATGGATAAGAACGGCTACATTGATTTTAAGGTGAGTCTCTTTCTCGAGTTTACAACTGGCATAAATTGCACGTTATAACGAATCCTGGAATAACTACCACGCTCTCAAAACGATGAATTTTTCAAATGAAGTACGCGTCATGCAACTCACTCGTCGTACTCGACAATTCTTCTACGTGATTAAACACGATTGTCTATGACAAAAGCCACACTTTATTAATCGCGAATCGAAGAAACGCATCGGGCACCGCAAATGCGTCTATCGGGAAGAGAAGATTGCATTTTTATAACATGGAAATAATCTTCCGCGTGAGTTCAGATCGAATCGGCGGCGGAATTCCATATCGTCTGTTAGGAAACTGGAGCAAAAGACACGATAAAAATATTTTTAAACACGGGAGATTCTTCTGATAGGAGAAACGCGCGAAGAAACGCGAGCGACGTTACATTCTCTATTACACGTTTGTTTGGACGATACAAATCTTTTCTGAGATTCCAGTCTCGTGGAGCATGTTCTTTCGCATTTATTTGTTCACGGCAAATCTACATCTGTCTCTTACAATCCGCTTACGCTGTTAATAATGCATCATTCGCTTTGAAACGTAAGAACGGCGTCACTTACTGCAGTCCCTTCGCGCTTTGTAACTTCGTAGCCTCGTAGCCTCGTAGTCCGACTCGACTCGACTCGAAACTCGAAATCCTCCGAGAGAAGTAGCGCGTGTCGCACGTGGAGCACAGTGGCGGTTTGTGAACACAGCGAGCGAATATTCTCGGCCACCGCCGAGACGGTGTACGCCGGTTGGTAATTTGATATAGCTCGCGCAAAGGTGCGACGCATCGTGTTCGCCGAGGGTTCGGCGAATGGCTATTTGATATCTGACCCCGGAATACGCCGGGTAAAACCTCCAGCTTTGTCTAACATCGTGCTCTGTGAGGGTGATTTCGCATCGGCGATCAAAGTATTCCTGGAGCAACTACGATTCATGGGAAGGCATTCCTCAGATGCGTTCGACGCATCTGATTTTTCAGCCGTCAAAAATCATCTTGTCTTCTTATTTTCTTAGCTTATTCTTTGCCCTCGTGTTTAAAGACGATAAAAAGCGAAGAATAAGTTTATATCGAAAAGTTGATGTTATAATATCTTGATATTGATAGAGAATATTGTTTAATTTATCTTACAATATGTATTAATGAAAGAATACGAAAAAAAATATATATATAAGTTTTGCTATATTTGACAAAACATTAATTATAAATGTAGAGTTTTATAAGATTTCAAAAACGTAGCATAAAATTCCTTTGGTTTTGATGTTGATTATTGGAACAAATTATCTTTAAGGCACTTTTTATATATTATTCTCAATTTTTCTCAAATTATTTATTCACTTAGTACTCGAGACTTTTATCTATAAATATTGTTATAATAATTTAATTTTTATTTTACTTGTGAGTTCTACAAGTGTGGAATATTGCACGATATAACGAACATAATTTAACGAAATAGTGTAACTATATATTGCATAAAATGTTGATAGCATTTGATTGGTGAAAATTTCATTACCGTTGTGTGTCCCATTTTTAAATTATTAAATATCACGAAACTTGATTCTTGATTTAAAGTTCTGTCAGCAACATTTGCATAGAAGCAATTGTACACCAAAATCGTCCAAAGTCTTGGAAATAATGTCGTACAGTCAAAAACAATCGGCGGCCCTAATCAACGTTCCAAATCACGAGTATACAAACTTGATCCAGGCGGGGTCCATCCATGGCGGATGTTTAATACCCGGCGAGATGCGGATGCAATCTGCCTCGCGTCGTTTATATCTCGCGGCCGTACAACATTTAAGAAATTTCACGTTGAGACGGACGAAGTTCCGCTGGAGTTTCGGGACGATAATGAAAGCTCCATTATAATTCCATCGTCAGCTGAAGTTCTGTTTGACTATTGCATGTAAACTTGTAAGGTCTAAACGACCATTATTCCGATATTAAGTAAACCTGCGATGAGGAGACGTGGCTTCTCGTTTGATTTCATTGTGTCGCTATGAATATTATCGCGATATGGTTGTGAGAGAGAGAGAGAGAGAGAGAGAGAGAGAGAGAGAGAGAGAGAGAGAGAGAGTACGTA